GCAAAGGAGCAATGAATTGGTAGTAAGACGTCCATAAGTCAGGTTGGGTCAAGTTCAATCCGAGTATTTTTAAAAAACTGTTTTTGTAATAGTAAATATATGTACTAGAATAATTTAATCGATATGAATTAAACTAAATTTAAGATTAAAAATTTAATTTCAATTCGATCTGAATCGAGTCAAGATCGTCAGTTTAAGCTAGTTACCTAACCCTTCGATATCTTAACTCTCAGTAGAACTCCTTAGTCATTTTTTTTCTAAACTTCTCATAAAGTTATAAATTATGTCCATATTCCTCACACCAAGTGTTGGATTGAGGAGTTGACGTCCGAGTCATTAATAAAATAAAAATTAAGAAAAAAATTAAAGAGAGGAAGAACTGGTGGGAACGTTTGCTATAGAGAATTGGAAAGAACAACTGGTCCCCCTCTCAACACTCATACAGAACAGGTAGATACAAAGCTATGAAGAGTTGTTGTAACAGAGTCTGTTGGATTCTCTTGCATTTGTTATTTGTGCAATTAAATTTTAGGTTAAATTATACAATTAGTTTTTTATATTTTAGCAAAGTGGTAGATTTATATTTTATAAAATTCAAAATATAAATCCAACTGAGTTATAGTGGAACAGTGACTATCTAGTAGACTGGAAGAAGCAGTAGGGGTGGAGGGTAATGTAACATATGCCCCTTCAAAATTTTTAAAAATTTTTACTATGCATATATATATTAATGATTCTTTCAAAATTTTTGAAATTATTTATTTATTATATATATTTTAATGATTTTTTTATTTATGAGATTATTTATTTACTATATATTTTTAATAGTTTTCTCAAAATAATTTTATTTATTTTAATATTAATATAAGAAAAAAAAATAAAATGATCTCATAAACTCTACTTAACTTTACTTTAATTTAAATTTTATTACATCTCTTTCTCCCTCTTTCTTTTTCTCTTTTCTCTTTTTATTTTTACATTAATCTTTTCTCTATAACTTATCATTAAAATATATTTCATTTCTCAAAAGAAATTTATGAGTTTTTGAGCTTCGATAAGAAATAGCAAAGATTACTCACCATCATTGTATGAAATTAAGAAAAAGTTAAATTTTATTTTATATTTTTTTTATTTATATTATTTAACTAGTTATATATTTAACTATTATGTAAAATATTATATATCGTATTTAACTATCTATATTTTATATATTATAATTTTATGTTTAGTACTTTAAATTTAAATTAAAAAAATAAGAATATTAGATACACCTTAACTAGGATATGGTCTTAGGTTTTTTTATGTTAGTGGTTCGATGTGCTTGTCCTTCTTTTTATTGTTGGGCATTTTTGTTCTTTTTGAGCAACTTTATAAGTTTTGGAATGGTTTAGGAGTCTTTGATCAATTAGAAATTCAACAAAAACACTTTTCAAAAAAAAAATCGAGTTTGATTAAAGTATGAATAAGTTTTAAATAATTTTCTTATAGTTGAGTCATCATGTCTTAATAGTTCAAATCATAAGAAAAAGTAAAATGAATCAAAAAGTCTTAAACTCAATCTTAAAGAATTTAATGCTTTTCAAATAAAATTCGATACTTATACAACTATTGAAAGTCTTTTATTTTATTTTTTTATTTACATGTTTATACAAAATTATTATATATTATGAATCTTTTGATTATTTTTTAAATTCAACGTAATAGTTTTAAAAAATTTTAATCTTTGTATTTTTTTCAGTTTTGATCCTCTCAATAAAAACTAGCAAAAACTAGCTAACTCTATGACTTGGGGCGCAGAGTATTTTCTCTATGGCAAGATTTGACATGGTGAAGAACATTAAAGGTCTAACTGAGTGGCATGGAAAGAACAAAAGGCAATTGCCAAAGAAGTAAGCTTTCTGTCTCAACATATGACAACTGCACTCTGTTTAAACTTATATGATTGCTTATCATTTGTCAAGTTCTATCTAATATCCCTTTTCTTTCTTTTTTCCCCATCATTTTCTGCCACCAAAGTTTTTGAAGCATTTTAAGTACAGAATGTGGTTTCCACATTGCTTTAATATGTTAATATGGATCTTATTATTGCAGTGCCTTTGACAAGTTGAAAGCAATGGAGAAAATCATTAGAAAAGGGAAAGCAGATTGAAGATGATTGTGCTGTTGTAGTAAAGAAGCTCCACTCAACTGAAGAGCAACCCTGGGGGCACAAAAACCCTTTCTAAGGGTCTTCATTGCCTGCCTTTGCGTCTTACTACTGAGTCTTATGCTTTGAATTATTCACAACCGAACTTTCTAAATCAAGAGAAATTAGAAAACCCCCGACTGTGCCATTATGCGCATTTCTCGTATAATGGAATAGCAGCAGCCGTTGTTGTAAACTCAATTATCTCCCTTGTTTAATGTAATTGTACTCTCCCATAAAGACTTAATTTGTATAGAAGTGGTGAACAGATGAAAAAGGAAACTATATCCTTAGAATTGGTAATGAGGTTTCTCACTGATGTGTATTAAGAAATTTTTTCATATTTTATAATCATTTTTGTACATTTTGTAATAATTGTACATTTTATCATCGTTTCATAATTTTTAACAACAAGCGTTTATAAAATTTTATAAATCCGTGTGGGTACTTCTCTAATTATGATATAAAAATTAAGTTCATTATTTTAATAAAATATGAAGACTAATTATGCAAAATGACCTCCATTTCACCTTTTCTATGGTAATATTAGCATAATTTCGCAATTAGGGCTTATAGCCAGTTAGAGCCCAAAGGAAGGAGAGTCCAATCTCCAATCGGACCCATATACGTCACTTTATAAAGCGTCGCTAACCCAATTGGCCCATTTAAGTTATGAATCGGAAAAATCGTAGCTGACAGCTATTCTATAAATACCCCGTTCCTCAACAGCTATCTTCCTGTCCTCTGTTGTGCAATTCCAGCACTCGAGATTTTTCTACATTTATTTTTGAAAAGCAAACTAAATTCAGTTCTCTTTTATGTGTTTTTTTTTTAATTTCCCAAATTTATTAACCTCATTTTTGTTCTATTTTCCAATTCTTTTACCTCTCAATACCATTTCCGAAGTGCTTAAAAAACTCCATGCATATAGGTTAGGTTAATTTCTCCTGGGTTCTCTTCTCTCCAATTTCCAGAGAAAAAGAAAGAAATATGGGTCACTCCAGCTTCCAAGGTCTTCATATTCTTTTCTTTTTGTCATTTTGACTTTAAATTTCCTTTCTTTTCATTAAAATGCCAACCTTTTGTTTTCTTTTGTTGACCAGATGAGGATGATGATGAAGACGAATACGAGGAGGAAGGTAGTGGGGGTAATCGGCTTCTGGGTTTTATGTTTGGGAATGTCGATAATTCTGGTGATCTTGATGCCGATTATCTTGATGAGGTAATCTTTTTTTTTTTGGCTTTTTTTATTCCTTTCTTGAGCTTAAACGGATAGTAATTTTATGCACGAACCTAAAAAAAAGCCTTACTATTTTGTTGTGGCTGTTTATGAAGTTGTTGAAAGCTTGTTCTTTGCTTATTTTATATGTTAAAGAATTGGTATAATCTCAAATTCTTGATGGGTTTTGGAACGTGTAATATTTTTCTTTTTAGTCTGAGCTGGGTTCGGGTGGTGGCATAGGATACAATTAAGCTGACGTGAGGAAGGAAAGTGGTTGATTCTGATTAATGGAGAAGATGTGCTTCCTTTGTTTCAGGCCTGATTTTGTAGGAGAGTTTTTTGCAAATCTACTTATGTGGTTTTATTGTGGTCGGTTAAGTAGGAGGGAATTAAGGTTTTAGGGATTGTGGTTCTGTTAGAATGTGAAATTAGCGTTGAAGGAGCAATAAGGATTTAGGGTTTGTGTTAATATGGGTTTTGCACCAAAAGAGTGGTGAAACAGAAGCATCTTGATGCTGCAGTGAATTTGTTAGAATTGATTTTAGGATAAGTACAGGGTGTCTAGAAAGTTCTTTTTGTATGGAAAAATTGCTATATGTACTTTAGATACAGAGAATAGCTTATCACTTAATTGCATGTTTTTCAAAAACTCTACAATGTTAATTGGTTTAGACATAAATTTTTGGGTCAATCATGAGACTCAAGCCATATAAACCCAATGCCATATAGAAAAAGATTCATTAATTAAATCAGGCTTAAAATAAGACCAAATGAACCTAAGAAAATTCCGTTTCCAGCAAATCTAAAATACTAATGACTCTGACACCTAATTAAACTAACAAATCAAAAAACTAATGACACCTAATTAAACTAGGGAATTATAGGGCTAAATATCTGATAATTATATGGGGTTAGTTTCCTTTGGACCAGAAGGACTTTCTTGCTGTTGAAGGACCCATGAATTCCGGCCCACATGGCTTTCAGAAATAGTAATGCTACGCCAGCCAAGCTAAGAATGCTCCGAAACCTATAAAGCCTTGTAGGAGATAACATACTAATTCAGCCCGAGCTATCAGCTTAAGCTATTGGGTCTGATGCTGCCTGAGCTATCAGCTTAAGCTGTTGGGTGTGATGCTTGGCTTGGCATCCCTATAAAGCTATCTCCATCTTGGCCTTCATTTTCATTAGTAGTCAATGCTATTTGTATGTAAACATATGTTTTTTACTTTCTTATTGTTGGTTTTTGTCTGTTAGGTATCCTTGTGTTCTTAATTGCTGCATTAAAGCTAACAATGACTTTCTTTGTCCTAGGATGCAAAGGAGCATCTTGCTGCGGTAGCGGACAAGCTGGGTCCATCTCTTACGGATATAGATGTATGTTTAATCTGATATGTGTTTTATCTCTGTTCGCCCCTCCCACCTCTAAAATGTATGATTTATAATAATGTGGCGATCCTATCTTGTGTTTTATTATTATTTTTAAGATTTGGGAGTTTTTTATACTAATAATGCTGTTCAATTGTCAGCTGTCAGAAAAATCACCACACACTCCTGCTGATGCTGCTGACCAAGGTGATGTTGTATGGCCGGAAAATCTATCTCATGCCGTGTTTGATGTTCTGTTAGAATCTTTGTTTCTTCAATTAATTGATTATGCTTTATTTATGTTGGCTCCATTGGAATAATCTTTAAGATGCAGTTAGTGGTAATTCTTTATAGGAACCTTTCTTCATTGAGACTGAAGGTAGAGTTTGGTTGATCAAAAAAGGCCACTTGTACTTAAGAGAACTCTTTTTATGCTCATGATTCTACTGGATCTCAAATAGTTGATACAGTAACTTATCAAAAATTTGTTGGAAAGCATTTTTTTAATCTTGAAATAATGGTTTCTGATTGGATTTCTCTTACTATCATGGATATTAAAAAAGATATTTAGAAGATAAAAACTTTCTTTTATTAGATTCTTGTGTTCGAAGGCATATGGTTCAGTAGCATACTAATTGTCTGGGTCATAGAGAGAAAGTTAATTTAGCTGCAAAGCCTGATGTTTTTTGGAAACTTAGTGCTTATGGAGCAAAATTTGATTGGTCTAAAATCCATAATTTTCTTTCCCCATGTCTGAACTGGTGGTAAAGTGGCTTGTAGTAGGCTGCTTTATACTCAACAGGCAACTACCCTCCTTAGCTTAAAACCCAAAAGAATGGGATAACCAAGCATGCAATATCTGCTATGAAGCTTGCATAACTTAATTCCTGAGATTGAAATGCAAAAAGTGTTTTTAGATCACCCAAGCTGAGCTACTATGATGGTTCTGTCTCCTACTGTAGATTTGTGGGCTGTCCTCATAATTGTTAGTGATTTTTTAAGTTTTTGCTTTCATCATGATATATGCCTCGGGTTATTGTTTGTGTTTCGTTCATATATTTTTTACACTATGGAATGGAGTTTATTTATTTTTAACCTTTCGACATAAAAGATATGGATGTTCTACATCATTGCTTGAAAAAATTTTGTTGCTAAAGTTTTGTCTGCCTTACAACCCTATCTGGTGTCCAACTCTTGTCTAATCTTCTGATTATGCTTTCAATGGGGGTTCACTGTGGCAGATTATGATGAGAAGGCTGAAAATGCCATTGACTATGAAGATTTTGATGAGGAGTATGATGGTCCGGAGATTGAAGCTGCTACTGAGGAGGACCATTTACTTCCCAAAAAGGAATATTTTACTGCTGATGTTTCTTCTGCTTTGGAGCCTAAATCCTCTGTATTTGATGATGAAAACTATGATGAGGATGAGGAAAGTGAAAAGGAACAAGAGGTGGTAGGTAAGCATAAACAGGTTCAAACTGCCTTATCAGCAGGCATGCTATTGAGCTGTAGTATTTTCTGGTTTGGTAATTATCAATTGTTTCCATTTTATGTTTTTTATTGTGGTAAGTGCTTTTCTTGGTACCCATGCCAAGGTATCCTAGGTCAGGTGCTTTTATCGCATCTTTCACCTTCGACTGCATTCTTTATGATAAAAAACTTATTCGTTTTCATTCTATTTTTTGTTTGACTGAATTTAGCACCTTTTTTTCAGGTGGGCAGGAAGAGCATACAGTAGCATTTGAAGTAGAAAAATCTCCTGAGGATGATGTACAGTGTGGCTCTTCAGATAGTGAAAAACAAGCAGATGGTTCTGAAGATTTTCAGGTGAGTATTCAATGTAATGTTTTGGTTTTTTCATATAACATCTTTTAAATTTTCAGGTCTGGATCTGTTTTTTAATAGTGTAAGAAATATTTGGACAACCATGATTAGCTTTTTTGGAGTGGCATATCAAAGAAAATTGGAGATTTCCTCTGATATGAAATTTTTTGTTATTGCAACCTTTAGGACTTTAATATTCTCTAATTTTCATTTTGATGGGTCTCAAAATATATTACATTGAAGTTTGTACCTTTATTCTGGAATAGGAGTTGAACTACAGTCTGGCAAGCTTGACCCTGAGTTTAAAACACTTCATGGAACTTGTTAGCTAAGTCATATGTGAACTGCAAAAATGAATCTGCAGATTATATTTTCCATAGGATGAGGAAACGGAAAATTAGCAGCATGTTGTCCTTGTATTATTTATGACTCTTTCTTTTCGGAGCATGATAATCTCTATTTAATGATTATATTTGTCTCCTGAGTGACCATGGCTGACAATTTGACATTTAATTAGGGGGTGTTATTGAGTTGAGTTGCTACAGTTAAAAGCTCAAGCTTCACTTGATTACAGGACTTAAGGGTTTTTTATAATCTTTATATATAGAGATATCGATTTAGGATATTTTAGTTTTTTCTATTAACTAGTGCATTGTTTATTGTATAAGCATTAGGGTATTAGGGCTATTTGGTATTTTGCGATTAAAATAGGGTCTATGGTTCAGCTATAAGTACCCACATTAGGTCAGTTTTGTTGTACTATATGGAATCATTAGCAGAGAACTTTCAGCATTATTGCTTTTGTTTTTGTGAGGCAATCAATCTTATTGGTTTTGTTGGACTAGGTTTTATAGTTGTTTTATAATCTGAATAATTAAAGAAAACAAGAAACTTAAAATAAAGAAAAGAAATCCCTGAGCTTCATGCCTAGCGTTCCTCAGGAGTCACACCTAAGGTTGATTGCATTACACAATAACAAAGCAATAATGCTGGAAATTCTCTGATATGAAACTATATCTTGAGAATAGCTCATTGATTTATATAAACTCTTAGCATCTCTTGTCTTTAAAGAATTAGAACTCCTATTCCCATTTATGATTTTAAGTAATTCTTACACTTAAATAGAAGATTAACAAAATCCAATAGGATAAGGAAAACCAACTAAGATCCTAGACTCCAAATTTGAAATTTCTAGCAAATCGGAAAATTAAGAAACTACCCTTGACACATAAAACAGAAAATAAATTAAGAACCAATGGTTTTAACCTAAAGAAGTATAAATCTAAGGCACACAAGCACTAAAAATGCCTACTCAATCTCCCAACTCAGCTTCTCACCACATGTGCAAAATTAGGGCTTGGACATTATATCCAGCCTTAGCACACATCCTAAACACCTTTGGAGGCTGCTGCTCCATCACTAGTCCTGGTTAAGCAACAAGAAATAAAAAGATTTTAACCTCTGACTCTCGACTTTGGCTCAATCCAATATTCTGCATTTGAAACAAAGATATTTAAGAGTGTGTATGTGGATTTTGACCTCCAGTCCTGCAATATCATGAAAAATGGCAACAAAAGTTCCCTTCACATAAGTAACTGCAGCGTCTTTTTGGTTCATATTTATTTCATTTATGGGAGTTAACAAGCCTCTCACAGGGCCTTGGTCATGTTCACCATTCGTCTAACGTGCTTTAGTAATAATGACAGGTTTGTAGATAAAATCAAATATTCCCCCTCCCCCCTCCTCAACTGCCTTTAGAGAGGTGGGAGATAGGATGACCATTGGACTGTATGGCAGCTGAATTCTCAAATGTTTGCATTTAATCAGATTAACACAAACTTACTGAACATATTTCATAATGAGGTTGCTGTTTAGAAATTGAGAATAGGAAATTGGTTTTTTATTTGTCTTTTCGTGATTGATTTGCTGGTTCTGTTTCCTTTAAGTGCTCAACTATGGCTAACAATAATATGAAATACAATTTGTTTTTTGTGAATCAGTTTCTTGATTTTGACTTGATAAAGGGAGATTTAATTGATACTACATGTTCCTTGTTTTTATGTTTATGATCCAACAGGAAATAGCTGGTGTTCTGGAGGAGCCATTAGATGGTAAAGGTTCCACTCCTCTGCCTGTTTTATGTGTTGAAGATGGTATGGTAATCTTACGGTTTTCAGAAATATTTGGTATTCATGAACCCTTGAAGAAAGCAGATAAAAGAGAGCATGGCTATTTCACTCATAGAGGTATGTTGCCTAATATAAATTTTTTCATCTTTCATTTGTGGGGTTAAATCTAATAGCAGGTGCATGGCACATCATGTTTGGAGTTCCCTAGATCCCTCTTCGTTCTCACTTGTTGTAATTTTTGGTTCTCCACTTCATTTGTCCAGAGAAATACAAATCTATGGATGCATCTGATCTTGTAGAAGAGGATGAAGAGGTATTTCTAAAGGGCACTGGTCAAGGTTTTTCATTCATTGGATGGGAAAATGCCATCCAACAAGATATGCCTGAATTTACTGATGAACCTCTTGTGCAAGGAGGCTTGTCAATGTCTGCACACAATGAAGAACACATTAAGGATTCTTATTCTAGTCCAGAACCAATGAAAGAGGACATAGTAGTAAATATTTCTACTGGATGGCAGTCACCTTCAAGTCCGAGGTTTTTTGCCCTTGACCAGCAGGACTGGGAAGAACAAATTCTTTGGGACAATTCTCCTGCAATAAGTGGCGATTCTTTGGAGAGTCCTGAAATCTCTGTCTCTGAGTTGGAAGCTTCAGTTGCTAGAGAGACCATTCCACAGACGGCGCAAAATGTACTGTCTGAGCATTCTACAAAACCCTATGAGAAGGACCATGACAGCAGCCTTTGTAGTTCCTCTGTTTTCTTGGAACCGTTTGGCTTAAGAAATTCTTCAGGATCTATGGACCTTTCCTTCTTGGACAGATTCCATCCCCAACTCTTAAGGTTGGAATCTCCGTTGGGAGTAGATTCTTCAAATGATGGTGATCATAAAAGAGAATATGTTACCATAGAGCCAGATAAAAGTGATGTTGTGAGGTGTTTTAACCAACTTACATTGCAAAATAAAGATATGATGGAAGGGTCATGGTTAGACAATATTATATGGGAACCACATAGTGTGATTGCAAAACCTAAGTTAATTCTTGATCTTCAAGATAAGCAGATGCTTTTTGAAATTTTTGATAACAAGGAAAGTAAACATCTTCAGCTCCATGCAGGGGCTATGATCATTACTCGACCTGTAAAGCCAAGCAGTCTTGGTTCTTCCGAGGTGTCAGGTCATAAATATCACCCTGGTTGGCAATTCAATATTGCTAATGACAAGTTCTATGTGAACCGTAAAGTTTCTCAGCAGTTACAATCAAATTCTAATAAACGCATGGCTCATGGTGTCAGAGTTCATCATTCAGCACCTGCACTTAAGCTTCAAACAATGAAGTTGAAGTTGAGCAAGTAAGTGTTCCTATTAATATCTTTTTATTGTTCATTTCGATTCCATGCTTGTGCCATTGGTAGTTCTTGATACATGTTTATTTTTGCTCATTTTTTCATATTTATGTACTGTTCTTTACTATGAGTTGGATTCACTTTGAAGAATTATACCAAATGTTACCTTTTTTTTTTCTTGGGCTTAAATTTGTCTGGCAATAATATCTGGTTTACTGGATGCAATAAAATGAATTTGAGTTGCTTTTATTGAAGTAGTTTCAACTACATACTGAAAAGTAAATATAAGGAAGAAACTGAAGTTTCTAATACCAGTAACTTACACATACACTATGCTTGGTAACTACGTGGGGAAGAGAGGGAGAAGGAATGGAGGGAGAGGAGAAGAGAGAGAAAGGTAATATAAGGTTCCCCTTGTTTGGTTTGCTTGAGAAGGGATGGGTAGTTTACTGACTTTGTTTGGTTAAGGATTGAAAAGGGAAGGAAATGGTAACTCGTTTTTTATATGTTTAAAGGAAGTATTAAGATATCAATAATTTTGTCTCTACAGCTCCAAATCTTCTCAACTTGGCAAGTTTTGGAAATTTTCTTTTTAAAGTGGTTTGGAGGGGTATATGCACCTGTCCAAAGCCTTCCTTTGCATTTAAAGGTTATCCAAACAAAGAGATTGGAGCAGTCTCCTTCCTTTCCCCTTAATCAAACAAAGTTCCAATGGATTATGTAGATGCAAACCTGTTTAGCATTTGAATTAGGTTTAGCAATGAGGAAGATCTTGGTAGTATCCCTGTCTAGCACGAATGCTATTGGGTAGGTTGTTGCTGTTATTTAGCAGAATAAACCTTATTGATCTGGCAGATATTTTAACATTTTATCTCTTAATGTAATTACTTTTATAGTCCTTTAGAATGGTTCTGTTCTATGTTGGTGTATTCCTGGTTAATCATTCTGTTGTATGTTGGGTTTTCCTGGCTCTTGGACAATGCCTTACTTGCTTTACTACAATGGTAGTATGCTATTAATTCCTGTCAGACTTCAGCCGTTGAGTTTAATCTACAACTTTGCAGTAAAGATGTAGCAAATTTTCACCGTCCAAGAGCTATATGGTATCCACATGATATTGAGGTGGGTGTCAGGCAACAAGGGAGGCTGCCAACACAAGGACCCATGAAAATTATATTGAAGAGCTTGGGAGGCAAAGGAAGCAAACTACATGTTGATGCTGAGGAAACTGTCTCTTCTGTTAAAGCAAAGGCTTCTAAGAAGCTAGGTACATGTCTCCTTTTAACATGTTCATCCACTGTACTCTAGCTATTAGTCAGAAAATGCTTGTTTCTTGAGTGCTTGCTTTATGATATTTTATAATGTCTAGATCTCTTAAGGATCTTAACAGTTTGTTTTGGGATCATTTTCATGTAGATTTCAAGCCATCAGAATCAGTAAAAATATTTTATCTTGGGAAGGAGCTTGAAGATGATAAGTCTCTTGCTGCTCAAAATGTTCAACCAAATTCTCTGCTTCATCTTATTCGCACAAGAATACATCTATTGCCAAGGGCACAAAAACTTCCAAGAGAAAATAAGTCTTTACGGCCTCCTGGGGCATTTAAGAAGAAATCTGATCTTTCTGTGAGAGATGGTCACATTTTTCTAATGGAGTAAGTGTCTTCAATGTAATTTTGTTTCTCTCCATTCTTTATTCCCTTTTATTTTGTTTTTAATTAATACATGTTAAAATCTTTTGAGTTAAGACATTTTCTAGTTGGCTACTGCATTCTCTGTCGAATCCTTAATCTTATCCTCCTAGTTGGCTTTCCCTCAATGTCATTCTGCCTCTGTTTTGTTTTTCCTCTCATTTTGATTTTTAATATAATAAATTTATAATATTTTATGAGTTAAGACATTTTTGAGCTGCTACATTTACTGTCTATTTGTTGATCTTATCCTCCTAGTTGGCTTTCTTTCGATGTCATCCATAGAATTGACATTATCTGGTTGCACAAGTCATAAATCTGGGATTGACTACTATCTGATTACATGTGAATCATTAATCTGGAACTTTGCTTTTTATGATGTTTAGTTTAGCTGCTGAATTTTTATGATGCTTTTTTTAGTAATTTTTTGTATTTTATAATGTTATATACTTCATTTACAATGCATTTAAAAAGCATATATTGAGAAGAACTTATAACTTTTTCTTAATATACTGCATTTACGTTATAACTTTTGCTTTTGGAGATAATTATTATTGACAATCCATAAGATGTACTGAACAAGCATATATTAAGCAGTTATGAAATTTGCCAACTAATTGATGATACATTTAGATTGTTTGCTTTCCCTTTATGATAGAAGTATGCCATATGGTAAAGATGGTGAAGAAAACGTTTTAAATCATATGTCCTGACCTTCATGTGTAAGGTAGGAAAGAAAATGATTCACAACAAATTGATACTAATAGTTCCTCTGATTTAAAACTTGTTACATGGTGAGAAAGAAAGTGCGTCATTGTCCATCAGGCTAGTTATCAAAGAAATCATTTAGCTGTCAACCAGCAAAGAAAAGTAAAAATGTTATAGCTGTTTAACTCTAGGGTTGTGTAGTAATGAATGGGGTACCTTTTGTGAAAATGGTGGGCATTTCTAAAATATGTGTGATATATCCTAAATTTCTGATATTTAATGTGATAAACTGTCTAATTCTTGATTTATGACAACATAGGACATATTTGTTTGTGAATGAAAACATATTTAATGAGCAACAAGTACAACGCCTGGATTTAATGCATTTAATTTGCATACTTTTTGACGAAGTCTATTGAGGGTATGGTTCTAAACAGAGCATAGTGGTAGCTTATGATCCATGTTGTTGATCCTAAGTAGTGAGAAAAGGGCTTATTCTTTCCTAGCACTGGGGAAGAATGTCATCATGGTTGAGCTGATGTGCTAGGCTAGGGTGTGTGCAAATGTTCTCCTTGCTCTGGTTTGGTCTGGTCATTTTTACTGCAAATATTTTTTCTGATTAAGCGTCTGAAGCTTCTGTTTGTCCATCTGATATACTATAAGCTGTTAATCTCTCTGGAAGGAAGTGCTACATGTAGCTTTCCACATTGAAGGACAGGAATAATTTTGATTAAAAACCCAAAAACACCATAAATGTCTCTGAAGTCTGAAATAAACATGGCTCTTTGGTTTGAATTTCTGGATTTGATGGTTGTCATTCCAAAGCCATCTTCATCAACTTATAAATGAGGTATTTACTTATTTTCAAGCGTTTTCATTGAGTCATATTGCTCTTGTTAAGCGTCCAAACTAAAATTAACTGGTAATAAATGGAGAAAGAGAGAATATTATAGATTTTATTTTCTTCCTTTTGATGGAGAGAAATTGAAACAGAACAATGTTCCTTGTTGAGTTACTTTCCATCTAATGGAAAGTAGTTCTAAATCCCTTACTTTCTGACATTCTGAGTAGATGATAATTTCTTTTATTCTGTAAGTCAAAAGAGAACCATAGAACTAGCCAGTGTGAGACAGCATTTTTCAGTAAAATTTGTGGGCATTAGCTGTTATTATCTTCTCTTCTGTTGCATTTTCATATAAATTAAACTTTTTCAATCTTTCTTAATGCTTTCTTTTTTGAGTACATGAAAAATTTTCATTATCATGAATAAAGGGTTTTCATGTAAATGGGAATATTATAAATGTAAATTTCAAGAGAACTTCATCCTTTTTTCATGGTGCAGGTATTGTGAGGAGAGGCCTTTACTTTTGAGCAATCCAGGGATGGGTGCAAACCTGTGCACTTACTATCGAAAAGCATCTTCAGGTGATCAAACTGGTGGATTGTTACGCAATGGAAATCAAACGTTGGGAAATGTTCTGCTTTTAGAGCCAGCTGATAAATCACCTTTCCTTGGAGATATTAAAGCCGGCTGTAGTCAGTCATCTCTTGAAACAAACATGTACAAGGCTCCCATAGTTTCTCACAAGGTGCCATCAACAGACTTCCTATTGGTTAGATCAGCGAAGGGAAAGCTTTCCATACGACGTATTGATAAGATTGCTGTTGTCGGACAACAGGTTTGTTACAGCTATAGGTCGTTCTGCATGTAGCCTTGCAAGATATAATATCAAACTTGTGCAATGAATTTCTATCTATCATAATAATTTGCAATCTGTTTGTTTGGTGCAATTTTCTGCTGATAACATTCTGGTGAGTAATGTTGATGCTGCATGTTGCTTGTTTTGTCAATGTACTTGATCATTGTGTTGGCCGCCTGCCTAGACCTGTATTAGCATGGTCCTTGTTAAAATTTGTTAGCCATGATGGAAATGGCTTTTGTAAAGAAACTTTAGTGTGCATGTCGAGTTCAATCTATACAATTTGTTCTACCCTAAACCCTTGCTGGAATAAGGGAGTTTAATCTATTCAATGTATAAATGTGGTTTAAGGGAGGTGAATCTTTTTTGAAGAAAAAAAATACCTTTTTTTTGTTATGGTCACTTTTACGGTATTATATTTTTAACTTTTGAATAGGTCTTCTCTCTAAGTTGAACTTTGAGTTAAAATGAACTCCATGGATGAATATTTAACAGTAACCTCCTTTATTTTGGCTGAAGAATTGCAAGAAAAATCTATTATATGTAAGTTGAGAGTGGATAAAGGGCACAGAGATTAGATTAAGGGTTTTCTCTGTGGTGTGGACTTGTGGCACTTGTGTGTGTGAATGTATGCGTGTCTTGATATATGCACACATAAATTGTATGTTTTATGAAATTTAGGTTTTTGGTGCTGTACAATTCATTGGTTGAACTTTAGCATGATTTCACTTTTAAAATTAAGGGGAAAATTTGCCATGCTAGAAGGTTGAGCTTGGGAGGTATTAGGTACAACAGACGATGGTACAACTTCTATTAAGTGATGTTAAGTACATAAGTTTGAAGTTTATTGCATCCCTAGATTTAGGTTGGGTTTCTCTGCCTATTTATAATTGGTATTGCAATGCTTAGCAAAGGCTAGGTTGTTTGTTGCTTGTTTGTTCCCCTTCTCTTGAAATTCACAAGATAAATCCATATCTCAGTCATTAGTATGTGTACATATATTCTTTTGACAGTGTATGGTTGTTCTGTGTGAGTACTTTTAAAGAATTAGCGTAGTGAATCCTCCTACATTTTCCATTTCCTATTGATCCATTTTTCCTTTGCAGGAGCCTCTCATGGAGGTAATTTCTCCTGGATTGAAGAATCTTCAGACATATCTCATGAATAGGATGTTGGTTTATGTGTATCGGGAGTTTTCTGCGGCTGCCAAGCGTGGTTTGACTCCATTCATTGGTACAGATGAGTTGGTTACTCATTTTCCTAACCTTTCAGATGCAATTGTCAGGAAAAAGCTGAAGGAATGTGCTTATTTGCGGGTAATTTTTGTGTGTTCTATTCTCTTAAATTCTGTTCAACTATTAACAAAAAGTTGCTTTAGTGCTGCTTGACGTTCATATTGATCTTCAAATTTTTCAGAATTTTGCTTTTCTGAATCGTTCTTCATATATATTCTATTGGCTTATATGCTACACTTGCCTATTTTGCAACCCAGAGGGATAAAAGTGGACGGCAGATTTGGTCCATGAAGCCTGATTTCCATATTCCACCCGAAGGTGTTCTGAGAAAGTTGGTCTTTCCGGAGCATGTGAGTTTCACATATCATACGCATTTGTTTCCTTTTCTTAGCCTTATTTATATGAGCACTCTATGATAAGTTGGAAGACGAATGAAGATGTAGGCAGATTGATTTTTGCATTTACAATAATGAAAGGTCATTCAAAGATGTATTTGTGGTTACTGTTTAATATCATTTTCATTGTTAATTTAACAATTTTGAGATTTTGGACCCGAGAAATTGCCTTAGTCGTTTGTGCATGATCCCCTTGCTCAAAAGCAGGGCTCAAATCCCCCTTCTCGAATAATAAAAAAAAAAAATTGAGATTTTGCAAGAAAAACTGACAGCCACAATTTTGCAGAAAATGGTTAGGGATCCTCCTAAATAGTCTTCTGGCTTGCAACCTCAAGTTTGATGTTTGTTAGTCTTTTGTTATTCATTTTTTAGATTTATTCATAGAAGAAAAGTAGTGCTGGTGACATTATTTTGGTTTGTATTAATCATGCTAGAGTCGCTGAGTTAAATTATATGCTACATGGAATAGTGTTTACCTAGAATGTATACCTACGTTCTCTTTTTTAATTTTTTAGTTGCTTTTCCTTACCATTAGTTGTTGAAGTTTTTGGAAGTTGCTTGATCAAGGTCATTATTATTAGGTGTTTTAGATTCAGAAGAGCATGGACTGTATTTTGCCATGTAAGCCAAGCTTGTCAGTATCGTTCTGGTTGATGTTTTGGTTTTTCTTTTGGAATGGTACACTGGCGTTGTTGTATTTCAAAGTACCATTTTCAATTTATTGGTATTATATATAAGATCATTAGGAATTTTACTACTAGAAAAATTGTATTAATATAAAGAGTTAAATTTTAACATTTTAACACTTTTTCAAACATCGGAACTGTTATTACGTATAGAACTTGAGTAAAAAAATGATCTTTCTATAGGTGTATGCATACTTTTTCATCATTTCTTTATTCATCAATATTTCTTTCCTACGTTATTTAAGTTCTTGCAATTATTAGAAATGAATACATGAATTTATTGATATTATATTTTTGTACATATTGTTGAAAGAATCCTAATTATTTTCCTTTCAGTTTGATTTCCATAATGGGCATTGCATATATCAAAATAAAGCTTAAAATAGCCTTTGCAGCCCATCATTAATCGTAACAACCTCAAGTATAAAAAGTCACTTAAAAAGAATTCACATTCAATCCTTCTTTATGATGCTTTAGTCTTATTCAATACTTTTTATCTCTCCCTTTTTCCCTTTCTATATGATCTTTATAGATGCTCTCTGTATCTTGTAATTTCCCTTATTCTTCTTTGCTTCTTCCTTATTTCTCTTCTATTTTAAAGAAACTTATGCGAATAAATTTGAAAAGGAAGCCCATAAATGGTAGGGAATTGAAAAGGAATATCAGAACTATAAAACACAAGTGTAATCTCTTTTACCATTCTTTTCCTGCATTATTCAGTTGCTAATGGATTATGTCTAAGCTTCCTATGCTTGTGGAGAGTAGTGATCAATGTGTGTTTGTTGTTCAACTGCGGGCTGGATGGTCAGAAACTTGGAAGTGGTATGATTGGGACTTGTGGAGTCCCTATCTCCTATTTGATGGTGTGATGGATAATACCAAATGGCATCCCTTTTGGTGGTATTTGCATAGCTGTGGGTTTCACTTTTTTATTTTGGGATACTTCTTACTCAGTATATTAAAATCTGTATGCATCGGTGGGTGGGTCTTAGAGTGTACATGCACACATGTTGCAAGAAGCATGATGAGAATTGGAGTTCCTGTGTAATGTCTACTGGAGTTATCAATCTGTCTTATTATGTGTTAAAACTTTAATCAGTGAGATGATAATAGCTATGATGTTAATTCTTTACCTTATACGCTTTTCTGGAAGATGATTGTAAAGTAAAATATACATTCTCTCCGCACGAATTGTCATTTCTATGTCCCTTGTATTTCTATGCATTTCCATTTGTTGAAGACAATAGGCTTTTATTTCCTTTTAATCCGGAAAAAGCAAAAAGAAAAAACAAGATGTTTTGTTATTGATTGTGGTCCTATCTTGATTTTTGGAATATGCATTGTGTAATGGTAACAAAGGAGGCTTTGGAGTGGGAAACCACTTGTGCTTTAATGTATTTCATCTGTCTTGATTGTTTCATTTCTCATTATTGTTCAGGTGTGTGCCTATGAAAGCATGCAAGCTGGTCTGTACCGGCTCAAACATTTAGGAATCACACGACTAACACATCCTACCACTATTTCATCTGCAATGAGTCAACTCCCTGACGAAGCTATTGCTCTGGCTGCTGCATCACACATTGAAAGGGAGCTTCAGATAACTCCATGGAATCTCAGTAGCAATTTTGTTGCATGTACAAGCCAGGTAAAAATATCATTTCTTCTGCTAGTGATAATAGCAAAGAAATTGCATTATGAAGCTGTCCTTTTGAATCATATTTTTAAAAGTTTCGGACTTTTTGAGTAGTAGTTGCCACTCTTATATTTAATTTTTCTATTTTTTGTTATATCATTTACCTTTTTATTCTTTCCTTCCTTTTTCCAGGACAGAGAAAGTATTGAGCGCCTGGAAATAACTGGTGTCGGTGATCCTTCTGGTCGAGGCTTAGGATTTAGCTACGTTCGTACTGCTCCTAAGGCTCCAATGTCAAATGCTGTGATGAAGAAGAAAGCAGCTGCTGGTCGTGGAGGTTCTAGTGTAACTGGGACAGATGCTGACCTTCGTAGATTAAGCATGGAGGCAGCACGAGAGGTGCGTTTCTCTTGTAAAAATTTTCCTATTGAAGTCTGATAAGAAAATTTGTCAAAAATTATGTTTTCTTTGGCTGTCATAGTTTTTAGATAGTGGTGGATCTGCTATAATGTTGCATTGCTAAATGCTGTTTTGTTTACAAAAGGTTTAAATCTAGTTGTCTCTAAGCTGCTTCATCCGTCAAATTAAGACTGCCTAACTTTTCGTTTCCAGAACACTTAAAGGTACGACTCGGTAAGGTTTATTTTAGCTTAAATAAAGTCTAGAATCAAGATCAGATAAAGATCACAATTTCTGATTTTGTTGTTATTATCTTTTGTTCTCTTCTTGTCTGTATTATGTATGCTGACCTCATTTTTTAGTATATAATATAACGTAGTCATTCCTTGAAAGAGTGCTCAAGCTGAATGAAGAATTCTTTTAGTAGACTAGTGTATAAAAGCTGAAGTATATACTCCACTCTGATATGTTCTCATGCTGCTAAGGTTTATTCAGTTGCTGACAGTGCATCTACTAGTTCATTCTTATTTGTTTATGCTGCTTCTAGCAGTTTAGAGCCAAAGCTTTCCTTCACTTTTTAAGTTGGGTTAGAAAACTGGCTACTGAGAGTAGGGTTTAGCACACTTTTTTTTTATACCCTCATGTTTAATAGCAGGTCAGTAATATTGGAATAAAAGCATTTAAGTATGAAACGTTTTAAAATGTTTGAGTACAGAAAAAAGGAAATTTCCAAATTATACTGCAAAAATATTTAAACTGAGGATGTGAAAGTCCAACATAAATTATCTAGTTTGCTGAGGCAAGAGCTTTTGCTTTATGAAATGC